GGACAATTGTTTCCATGTTTACCATCTGTAATGCCTAATTTTATCCGTTTGTTTATCTTAAATATTCCCGAAATAGGAGGACTTGAGCACTAACAATACATTTGTACATATTCCATGACAAAAGCGACTCCTTTTTGTAAATGACTTCTGCCATATCAATTAACCGTCAGTTAGCTAGCCTCCGGCTTCCACGAGTTCTACATTGTCGTTATGGTGTACCTTTGAGTCGTTTCGCTTGCCGGTCGGTCTCAAGTTCTCGTGTCCGAGGCCGTTCTTCAAGATCATTTCCCATGGCACCATTGCACTCCTTTTGGACTTGGGCAAGTGGGCGCAAGATAATAACCTCTTTTCTTCAATCCCAATCTTGTCATAAAAGCCTGAAGAATTTCTCATAATTCTCCCTGGTGTGGCATCACTTGTTTTACCGTGGTTATTTAAACCCACTCATTAGCACTTTGAATCACCGATTAGTGATGGGGATGTCCACAACTCCAGATTAGAATCTCTCCCTCTCATTCAGTCTGGAACTACTTTGGATTAGCTTTCCTTTGATCTTCAGAATATTAATTTTGTGAGGTCATATTAAGGTCAAGGCAAATGAAACTTTTATAAATGAGCAGTAAGAAGGCTTTTTTCTGTCGTCGCTACCTCTTTAATTGCTCTGATTGCGAACTTGACCACGAAGAGGCGCCTCAGAGCCTCCAACATCCTCATTTTTTGCTTGCGCATTATCTGGCACCTACAATTCCAGCGGGCCAAGTTGCTCAGGTGAAGTCGTTGCATAGTTTCCGTGGTCCTTGAGGTGGGTGGAGAAAAGTTGAAAATATAGTCTCACATGTAGATAATTCTCCTTCAGATGGCGAGCGGTCCGCTGGTCTTCATCCATCCAGCAATTGAGGAGGGTTCTGCCAACTCCCCCTCTGGTCATACCAAATCGGAGGGTGTGGTGCTGCGACGCATGGGAGATGACTACTTCTATTGGAATACCCCCACGGCTTCCAACCAGTCAAAACAGCAAGCCACTGCCTCCTCCACGTGGGATCTCTCCGCCGATCACCTCCTCTCCGCAGATTGGTTCAACTCGCCTCGAGGTCACTCTGATCCTAACCTTCAGTACGTCTCAAGTGTCATGCATTCCGATGCATCCACAGTCCTTTTAAGTCCAAATTTAAACATCTCCATCTGGGTTGTGTTGGGAACTCAAATGAAATGCAAATTTTTTATCCATTTGGACAGAACTGGATTCCTGCTGGCCACCCTCCTGAGGACGTGAATAAATGTGTGGACTAAATAGATCTTCTCAAAAACAAAACGAAAAAAAAAATAAGAGAAAT